AGCGATAGACATCCTTTACGAGAATGAAAGGGGTGGGTTCCTCTGCGGCATTCCTCTGTTTTCTTCGCAAGCTCTTGGGGGACTTGATCCACCTGCTTGGAGTAAGTCGTCGAACCCAGAAACACAAGTCACCTTTCTCTAGTAGGCATTGACATTTTTGCTTCAGCCAACGGGTACCATAAAGCGTCACCAAGCAACATCCATAATGCACAAGTTCCTGACCCTACATGGGAATGGGCGTGGCCCGAGTGGCGAATTAACCATCAAAAAGGTGTCGACGAACATGGCTGGGAATATTCCTTCCACTTTTCAAAAAAGTTTTCCTGGCACAGCGGCAAGTGGTGGAACTCGTTTGTTCGAAGACGTGCCTGGATTCGAAAGCGGGTGCGAAAGAGACCGGAGGAAGTGTCTGCCGATCCGCACATGCTCAACACGGATTACTTCACGATACGGCCGGCTACTCACAAATCACCAAAGTCTCGCGCGAGCGTCACTAGCAGTCGTCTCAGTCGCTCGAGTATGAGCCAGATGTCGACCGCGGACGCGGACGAGAAACCTGCCGATATTGGCAACGTGGACGACCTCATGCGCGCTCTTCGACAAGCCAGAATAGACCGAGAGAAGCTTGACGCTGTCAACAACTACATGGAACATGCAACGGACCTCCAAAACCTCCAGCACGAGATGCATGAGATAATGTCTTTATTTGTTTTCCAACAATCACGCCGCATATTGCTCAGCAGATTGATGGAGATTCATGACGAGACGACAACTCAGATGAAGAAGACGAACACTTCTGAATTACGAGAGCGAAACCAGGCATTGAAGGATGCAGTCCATCATGCTGACGAAGAGGTTCGCAAGCTAGCCTACTGGAGCGATGTAAAGCAAATGGCCGAGAGCGGCGAGGCGAAAGAGGCAGTCAAAGGAGATAAAGGTTGGGATGAAAGCTGGGAAGGTGTCGACCAAAGCGGCGGCGCTCATCCAATGCAGGAAAAGGCCATGGTTAACGGTAAAAAGAAGGAATCGGAGACATGAACGAAAACGGTTGTCAAGTTTCAATCTTTTGATAAGCAAAGAAACATGGGCGTCTGATGGGAAGCAGACAAGGCGTTGTTGCATTGGTGTAGCTGGAGATTTGATGCTGGTAACTACAAGCCACCTGTTCACTATTGTAATACCTTTACTACATACATGATTCTTTGGTTCATCATATGGACAAGGCCTTGTACACGACAAGCCAACTCGAGAAATGATATTTCGGGTGCCCACGTGATGCAATGCCGACATCGCGGGTCCATTATCGCGATAACAGATAACGCCCGCCCGCGCCAATCTTTTTTCCGCCATGTTTTGAGACTGCTATACCCGGGTATCTAGTACCAAGGACCCAGCTCTCAACGAGTGGCCTCTCGAACAAAGACGCCTTCGACGATGCGTGAATTATAACAAATGTCCCTGGCGATCAAGTCAATATGGCGGGCTCGGTCGCGATGCTCTGCCTTCTCTGGACCTTTTCCGAAATCAAGAGCCCCATTTCCCTCCAGGATATCCAATCCCTACGCTATCCGGCTCGAGTCATCGACACCATATTCTGATGGGACAAACTCAACTGAACCCTCGGAAACAGCTCTTGTAGCCCTTCCTGAAAAGTCTCTCGAAGTGAGCGAACAGCAGCCCGAGCAGGTCATTGCCAACCTAGTTACGGACGATACTCACGAGTCCCGCAATCGAGTCTTTAAAGATGCGTTCAGGATCGATGCGCTTCGACTGGTTGAAGACAAAGATGCCATGAAGCTCTTTAAACCTGTGATCGGAAAAGCACACCAATATCCAAACGAACAGGCGAACAAGGCAAGCGAACAGGAGCATAGGCGGGACGCACGACGACAGGCTGGCTTAGGTGTGGTCTGGAGCCACTTCGACAAGACCGTTCCGCAATGGATAGAATGTTTTGGGCTAATGAAGCGCATGACACCACAATGGAGCGAGAGAGCCAACATGTCGGCTGTAAGGATCGTCCTACCCAAAACGTGGGATATCGAAGTCAACAACCAGAATCTCGAATATGTCGACTCTGCGACGGGCGTGCTCCAGAAACTGCGGGCAGTCGTGGATCGTAATCCTTCTGCCATTGTGCTTCGTGGAAAGAGCAAGATATTGGTCAAGGTGGCCGACGAGATTGTGAGGCATTGCCAAGACGCTGAAATCTATGAGCTGGGAGAAGTGGCTGCATCGGATTACAAGACGAGGCAGCTGTGGCCAACCATTGAAAATGCGCCGAACGGAGGTGCCTCGCTCCCTGATGACCATAACGACACTATCTGGGTGCACAAAGAGTACCAGCCTCACTCTCTCCATGTGCCATACGAGCAGATCCCACGACCGTCCTTGTGGACATATGACAACTTTGAGCACTATATCTCAACGCTGTGCTATGGCAAGGTACCTCCTCATCTAGCAATCAGGTTCTACGGCCAGAAGCGAGTGAATGGGAGATATATCGATACGGATGGCATCAGGATCAAACTCATTGTTGATGCTTTTGATGACCCTGCTGCAAAACCATTCATTACTATCCCTGTCTTGAAAATGGCTATTTCCATGATGGCTTTCCGAGGTGGACATCGTGCCTCTGCCAACCATCTCATACAATTGGGAGAGGAATTGGGTATTCCCATGGACACTGATATATACAACATCATGCTTGAAGGCTACGCTCACAAGCGTGATATTGGCTTCTTTTATAGATTTCTCCGAAGGATGCAGGCGCGCTATCATCACCCCAACATTCGAACATGGCTACTTTTCCTTCGACTGGTCAGGGGTGAGGACGAAAGGAGGCAGGTCATTGTGGCCATGTACCAATTGGGCATGTTCAATCACCAGGCCACGCGTCGCGGGATCGCCGATATAATGGCCTCTCTCGATGCATATGCTGCTTTCAAGGCTGGAATACCTCTGAAAGGCTTCCTGGACGAGCAGAAGGAACGATATGGTGAGGGCTGGCTAGCGATCGATGGCCTCAACAGTATTGTCACTGAACTACTTCGCTTCCACCGCCAAGAAGATCCTCGAATCGAGGATTGCAAGGAACTGGTTAGAATTCATACGGAGTCAGGCCACAGGGTTGAGCTTAAGACCATCAACATCTTCCTCAGCTACGCGGCCAAGTCCAGAGATTGGGATACTGCTCTCTGGGCTATGTCACTCTTCAAGGTCGCCGGCTGCGAGCCTGACCAGGAGACTTATGGTGCTCTCCTGTCACTTGCGGTCAAAACACGCTCCCCGCATGCCCTCGGAACTGTCTACTTCTACGGCGTCCTCCGTCGTCAGCTCAAGAAGGGATCGAGAGACTTGCTGAGCCAAGTCCTCCTTCGCAAGCACAAAGACCCCTTTTGGGAAAAGCTTGAGCATCAGCCAGGCATCTTTCCCAGACAGGCAATCCCTGATCTTTTGGCCAATAAGATTCCTCGCCTCTGGGTTGTCATGTCCCGAGTCGAGCGTGTCATCCTCGATAGGTGGGCGAGCTATGTTCCCCTTAAACCCCTCGAATATGCGCTCGGACTTTCATATCGCTCCAATGATCTGCCTATGCACTCCCAGATCAAAGCCGGTAAACCCATTCAGGTGCAAGATCTCATCGTCAAGCTTCGCAGAGCTGACGGTCAACCTGGGAAAATCAACGTGCGTCTCAAGGGCCGTTTCGACCCGGCACATATGATTCAGGGTTGGGATGAGTCTCAGGCAGATGCAAACCATCCGAGCATACTACAAGAAGCAGAGGAGCCTGACAGCTGGCCTGATAATGATGATGATGTTGATGATGATACTCCAAAGCTTTTGTCGGCAGGGCCCGAGACGGACCCAAAATCGCCTGACGGTGGTCAAGATGGGCCTCCTGAAAAGCCAACTTCCACCCTTTCCTCTGAATTTGCTTTGAAGGAAGTCGAGAAGAAGATCAAAGAAGCTCGAAGAAGAGACCAGATTTAAGTCTTGCTGAACTTCTGTGAGAAGCGCCACATACAATCCCCATATTAACAATATCGTATTTTCAGCACCTTGCATCACTCCAGCCTGTATATTACGACTCCTTCTAGAATGCCTACCCATTTTAACTGTACTTTCAAGGTCGTATTATGATAGAAAATCACGGACATACCATGTACACTAGCAAAAGCACATTTTTCAAGAGGATGGGCGAGACGGAATCCAGAACAACGATAAATAAAAACGAAATTATCAGAACACCTCAAATCTTTACTTCACACACTAAATTACGGTCTGTCTTGCCCTCGAGATCAGTTCATATGTTCACCTACATTACATAAGTGCCAGGTCTGTCAGAGTGCAATGAAAGCTCCTGGAGAAATATGGATTGATGTTCCCCAACTCACGTCTGAATAAATCGAGCCTACCGTTCAAAAAAAAAAAAAAAAAAAAAAAAAAAAAAAAAAAAAAAAACAATGGGCCGCCAGTTAGTGTCCTGTATATGCTATACTGCCTCTTGACCCCTCTAAAAGCAATCCAACCATACTCGAGCATATCATCCCAGCATTGCCAAGGGGGAGACTGGCATTCGCAATGGAAATTTGGAATGAGACAGATGATCTCATGGCGACGTGAAGAAAATGGGAATCCCATGCGTGCGTAAACATCAAAAAAAGGTTTCTCTCGCTCTTCTCTCTTTCTTTCTTTCCTTGTATCCGCCTCAGCCCAGAACATGATATCCTTTCCGAGTCTCGCTCTTCTCGTGATGCGCCTCGGCAAGTCGATGAAGAGCGCACGATCCAGATCCAGGTTTGACACCAATACACCGACAAGTTGAGATGCAAGACTTAACATGAGAATATCACAACCCCATCTTGTGACCACCATCTACCACTTGCCCTTTAAACTTCCCAGAAAGCTGGGATCCGAGAAACATAACCGGAGGTGCAAGGGAGAAGCGACACCTAGGTTGAGTTCAAGCCCGTTACCCCGTAATTTCAGACAACAACCTATTCTTCCTTCTTGATTTCCTGGGCGCTGGCCTCCTTCTTCACTTCCTCCGCTGCGTCCTTGTCGGTAGGCTTCGTAACGGTTGCATCGGCAGGTTTCGTATCGGCGGAAGCGTTATCGGCGGCGGCGGTGGCGCCAGGGGCAGTTACAGGAGCGGTGTCCTTCTCGGCGGATGACGGGTTTTTGGTGACCTGGCTGGCGAGGTCTTTGTCTTCGTCGGCGTTGTCAAACATTTCTGTATCATCTGAATCCGTGAGAACCTCAGTGCCATCGCCGAGGAAAATGATCCGGCCTCGGTACCCACCAACTCCAAAGCTTCGTCCCTTGTTTTCAGGGTCCATCTCATAGCCACTGTCGCTATCCTCAAAGTTGTGGTGGACTCCAGGTCCTCGGAATTCGGCTACCGATTTCACGTTAGTCTGTGTCCAGACATCCAATTTAATTCGCAGAGCGGGTATCATCCTTACCGTACTCGGGAGGAGCACATGGGCCATCTCCGTTGGCGACCCGGCGGGCGATCTCCTCGTACCATTCTTCCTTGGTCTTTCCGTTGAGGAAGCCGATGATGACCATGGTCATATTGTCGCAGCCAACGCCACCGGTCTCGGAGTTGGAGGCAAGACAGTTGTCCATCATGTTCTCACAAATCTTGTCGAGCTCCTGCTTGGCAGCGATGCCTCGTCGGACGAACTCAACCACGGCTTGAGAGGATTGGCAATCCCAGATACCTATGCTAGTGAGTACTGTTATTCCCTCATCACTCGAGCCGACGTAGCTTACCATCACAAGCAATAACCAGGAATTCATCCTCGTCTGTAAGATCATGTTGCTCAACATCGGGGTAGGCTGTGACAATTTGGTTCTCGGGGGACAACTCAGCACTCTTCTTGAATTCAAAATCACCAATAGCACGCGAGAGGGCGAGGTTTCCGTTCACTCGGCCGAAGTCGACAAAGCCACCGGCAGCTGTGATTCGGTTCTTTTCGTCTAGTGTGGATGTCAGTACTATCGCTCGTGTTGCGTGAGTGATGTGACTGACTCTCGAGTTGGGGCTTGTGGTCCTGAGATAAAGGCTTGGCACGACCCTTGATACCAAGAACACCTCTCGAATCACCAGCGTTGGCCTGGATTTACTGGTTAGCTTCTTGCCGTATGTCATCCTCCAACGGGATGTGAAGGTGAAAGCCAAAGTGAGGGAAACAATGGCGAGGGGCGAACTGACAACATAGAGCTTGTTGCCAGCGATCAAGCTGACACAGGCTGTGCAACCGGAAACCTCTTCTTCGTACTTCGGGTCTGATGTTGGCGAAACATGACACGTTAGCAGTTGTTATTCAAGAAGTCAGGCGACGATTTGTCTATTATCGGGCATGGCGGAGAACGGCAAAGACCAAAAGCTGGCGCATACCGTTGAGAATAGCGCGATCGGTCGCGAGGAAACCGTCCTTCAGACCCTGAGCATAGTCACCAGACTTGAAGGTGTCCTGCTTGAAGATAATGTTGTGAATGTTTTGGCCGGTAAATAGTGCCACCTTGTCACCACCGTGTCCGTCGAAAACACCGAAGAAGGACAGCTTGCTGGAGTGAGACTTGGCTGAGTCGAGGTCGAGTACTGCGGTGTGAGCATCCTCCATACTAATGCGCCAGCCTTGCATGGCCGAAACACCGTAGATGAGGCGCTCATCCTCACCCTTCTCCGAAGTCTGTAGGATAGAAAAGAAGCGTTAGCAGGACTTGGTCTGACGACAAAGCAGCCAGCGGAAACATCGGGGAAGCGGATATCAGTATGTGAACATGGGCGTGGAAAATAATGATCGCAAGAGCCAAGTTACAAGCCCAAAGCCTCTGGTGGTCGATGCATATTCCCGACAAGGCTGAGGATATAGGCGCGGCTGGTGAAATTGGTATTGCGTGGGTTCCAGCGCGAGTGCTGGGTGAGGGGCTCATGACTGAGCAAGATTGCCCCTCTCGCGCCAGGTCCGAGTGCTAAATCCCAATGGCCGCATGCAAAACAAAAAAAAAACCGAACAAAGCCGCGCAGATGATCGAGACGAGCACATAAGATTCAAAGGCACAAGACGCACCTTTTCGACAACGGGCTCCGATAGAGTCTGACCCATGGCTATAGATTGTTATGGCCGGTTCGATCGAAAGAAAGCCTAGGCGTTGCTGGGACGAGACAGGACGGCGAGCGGAGGAGGGAGGAGAGAAGAGATGAGGAAGATCGACCGACGAGGGGTTGGCGGGGGGGGGAGAGGGTCGTTTGAAGAGGGGGGATGACGAGATAAGATCTCGCTCGACAAGAGAATTTTAGTTATTTGTTAAGAACAAGAGGTACGAGTATGAGTATGAGTAGTATGAGGAGAAGAAACTATAGCAAAAGCAAAAGGTAGAAAAAGAAGATGAATGGGGTTGACTACGATGCCGGCGCCGGGAGCGTGGTCAAAGGTGGATTCACGCTTTCTGTTGATGCGGAAGAGGGAGATTTCGACGTGCGAGAGATGGATCTGGATGTGTGGATTGTTGAGTTGAGGTTAGGTGAGGTGATGTCGGGCGGGGGGTCGCACCTAAGGCGGGGGGCTAGTGCTGTAGCTAGCTCTACGATCGCTAGGCTTCAGTGGTGGTGCTCACCAAATTTGGAACTCTCCAGGTGAGCGGCTGCCTAACAGTTGCACCGGTGGATGTTTTTAGCTGGGCTCGACCTGAGGCGCGGGCTTTGAAAATCAAATGAGGCCGGGGGATCGCATGTCCTGGATGCATATGTATTTATGCATTCTCTCGGGAACTATCAAGTGTAGCATCCATCTACGGATATCCACCTTGCGTATTGCTGAATCTTGTGCTCCTCGAGGCATAATTAGTACCTATCTTAGGGGGACCTTAGGTACAGTCCAGCTTGATATCCACCAGCATGTGCCAATCAAGGTGTTTTCAACCGTGATATCTCGCTCCTCTATCCCATCTGAAAGGCAAGGAGCTCAACTACTTTGGTCCTAGCACCGTTCTAGTCCAAGGCAGGGGCGAATATACTGAACTGTTCCTGTCCCTACATCATCAATCTGGGCTGCTGGGCTGCTCTTCTGCTAGTTAACCCCTGTTCCCGTAGGAATGGGACCGCCACTGACAGCCACGCTTTGTATGAAATAACTCGAGGTGATACAATGACCTCACGTCACTGGCTATGATGTATGCATCCATACAAACAATCACCCCATTGATACACTAAATAAGTTGAGCCTTTTTTTAAAACCACCCACTGCATGCATGAAAATTACAGTTGAGAGGGGGAAAAAATTTTGCATGCGTATGTCGTGTCGTGTAAGAGTTCCGTCAGCCGCTGGCGCCTAAACAGTCCCCTCTCGTTCGCTCCTTTTTTTTTCACTGTCACGCGTAAAAAAATTCCATGGTCGTCCTCGCCACTTCTAGCCGCGTGTGTTATTCATCTGTGCTACTCTGCCTGCTTTGAGTGGCTGTTGAGAATTACCTGTTCAAGAGCCTGATTTGATTTGATCGGATGCTACACATAAGCCTCAGATCAGGTCGCGTGCCCTTCCCTTGATGAACGGTCCGGTCCGGCTCCAAAAAATTACAAAACCCAGTTTCTTATCCCCATCCGTGCGTGCTTGAGGTATTGATTGATAGCAGGTAGGGCTGTGGCTGCGGTTGTGGCTGATTACTTTTTTGTTAGAGGATGATGCTATCTCTGAGGCTTGAGGTTGAGAGAAATTGCAAACCGTGGAGTCCGTCTTTAAGTGAAGGGTTTATGTTATCATACAGGTAACTCTCAATTTTCAAGGGGGATAGATCTGGAAACCACGCCGTCAATTCTGATGGTACATAATACCTAGAAGACCATACTTATATAACAGACCTGTACAATAAACAGTTTAGCTTACCCTAAACCGTTGGCCATTGACTACCGTTTTCGCCCATCTGTCCTTGCATACAAGATAAATTGGTGTCATTTCGTTGGTCACTTACCAGTTTTTAAGGTATTTAAGTTTTCTTATTTATCTAATGAGATCATGATTGTCCTTTGAGGACTTGTGCTACTAATCTAGACCAAACATAATTTTAGAGACCCCCACCTACAAAGAAAAGAACACTTAAATTATCCTTTCCCAAGGAACACGCCAAGGGGAGGAAAAAGGAAAAGAATTATCAATATACCAAAACAAATACGAAGCGCCAGGGTATCTCACGCTCCAACATATACATCATCAATACAGGACTTCAACTCTCAGAGAAAGGCATAGCTGCCACCTTCTGACTTGCCTGAATCTTCTCTTCTCCAGTTCACAGATGAGTTTCCTGCTGGCTTCGAGTGTCTGCTGCCAGGAACACTGAGCGGATCGACACTTAAGCGAGACAACTTGCTCATCGAATGCCCCAAGCCTTGCCGTAAAGACGCCAATGATCCCCTGATGCTGTTCTGAGCATCTCCCCACTGACTTGGGGATATCAATTCCGAGCTTGCCCGCTCTCCAGGCTGCCCTCCACAGCGGCTCGAACTCATCGCTGTGCTTGGCCGAAGTGGATGGAAAGGCGACTCATCAACTAGCTGGTGATATGATGCGCCTGTTCCATCGCGCTGTGATTCGTACACACGCCAGTTCTCCCCGGAACCAAACGAAGGATCGCTGACAAATCCTCTGGGTGCCTCCAAATCATACCATGGTCTGCTGCCAGGGCCAACATCCTCTCCCAGTAGTTCCTGGGTGGACAGACGTACTAGCTCCGGTCGTATCAATACTGGCAGGCTCTGAGTTGCCCCTATTGAAGGGCCCTCACTATCACCTACTGAGGCATGAGAACCGAGCCCAGCATCTGGTGCTCGTGTTGGAACCCTAGTCAAGAGCCTTGGACTGGAAAGATGTGAGGAAGCGAAAGCCAATGAGCTTTCATTGCCACTTGTGTAGTAGTCAGAGCCCTGCTGGAACAATGCTCTTTGCGATTGAATGCTTGGGAGACCATTGAGTGAGGAGTCGGCTGCATCGTTACCCCCCATGAAAGACCTTCGTCTTGCATCCGATAAAAGCACTGGTGGTGGTATCAGTTGACTGGTTGACTGCGATAATGTTGAGTTCGATCGTTGGCTCCTCAAAGAGTCACGACTTGGACGCCCTGCAGTTGCAGTTCCAACTGTGACCCAGGATCTTCTTTCGTCCTCACTGCTAGATGTGCCGAGGGACCGAGATACACTGGTGTTAGAATCCTCAGCGATGAATCTCGGGGGAACAAGAGGTGTCGCCATGAATCCCAATGTTGGAGATGTCATAACTAGCGTTCCCGAATCCATCTCAGAATGGGGCGTCCTGATGGGGTGGCGTTGTTGTTTACCAGCAGCTGCTATAATCTCGACCTTGTCGGCCTCTCGCATTGCTGCCGAGCCCCCGTTAACACGAAGGCTGTCGAGCACGGGCCCGGAGATCTTATGGCGAAACTTGGACGAGAGATATGTTTGTCGTTTGCGGCGGCGGCGAAGGAGACAACAAACAAGCAGCATAGATAGGAATATGACGACCAGAAGAGGCAGAAGAATCGCGAGGAGGAGGGTACCAGTCGTCAGACTCCCATCCGAATCAGACAACTGTACACCAGGCTCTGAAGAGGTTCCGGTGGGGGCGACAGAAGTAGACGTGCCCGTAGATGTTGATGAAGTGCGAGATTGAGTTGTCGATGAGGATGTGGACTCGAAAGGTATGACGCTCAAATTTAAAACCTCGGTCTCTGTGTCATCCAAAGTCTTTGACGCAGCTGTCACAGAGATATTTAGCTCTCCTGAAGCGGATACTGGGATCTTCCCGGTGATGTTAAAGCCATCAAGCTTTAGCCAATCCTTCTTCGGGTTGGTTGAAATCTGAAGGTCAATGTCCTCAGGGTCCCAGAAATAGGGCCGCAAATCAAGATCGACATCTTTTCCAGCCTCGACCTTGATACCGTCAAAAGTTGAGCGAAACAGAGCAGTCGAGACATTGACAGTGGCGTATATGTTGATTGTGTCTTGGTATGAGTCGCGGAGTGTGATGGTGAAGTTGGTTGAATGATCGCCTTTCCCTGGTATTCCCTCGATATCCCATGTATTCTTGTCCAGGGACAGCCAGTCCGGCATACCATCTGTTGAAATATCAACGTCGTCGATCTTCACAGGTTTGTTGTCAAGCTTGATCCCATCTGCTAGCCCGCTATATGCAAGCCTCTTCCCTCTGGTAGTGTTAAGAGTGATGTTGGGGTTGTCAACACTAAGTTTGTGTCTACCCACAATGACAGAGAAGGCAACTGACACGGCAGAAAAGCCAACAATGTCCGAAGCGACAAGCTGGAAGTCAAACGTTTGAGGAGGCTGGATAAGTGACTCGAAAGGAGGTGTCTTGCCACTAAATGTCAATGAGCCAGCATCGAACCTCATCCAAGCAGGTAAGGGACTGCCATCGCCCGAAGTCGCATAATAGTTGATCATATTGGGCTGGTATTCAAATGTGTCGGCATCAAAAGCAAATCTGAGCTCCGTAGAAGGATATGAGATTAGTGATGACGGCGGCGAATAGTCGCCAAAATCTTGAATCTGCTTCAGAAGTGGTGTTTTGAGGGAGGGGCCTTTGTTCCTAGACACGACCAGAGTCGAACTTAGCAACGTCGAGCCAGAGTCATCCTTGGCAATGATCTCTACTGTCTGGCCTATCACATCGCCACTGGGAACGGTGTCGTTGGTCGGGATGCCATAAAGACGGCGATCTTTGCTGTCGATAGAAATCCATTTTGGCGCATCTCCGAGCGAGTATGATATTTTGGAGTCTGATCGAAATGTGTAACGAGAGAAGACGTAAGAGAAGGGCTCATCTACCCGGGCTACTGGTGGTAACTGAGAGTTAATCGGGTAGTTGATTGTTGGCTGAGATCTTGTGAGTCCTGAGATAGTGAGAAGGAGAACAGCGAGTATGAAGGAAGCCATCATGGCATGACAGTATACACTGTTCAGTGTTCAAGTACGAATAGAGTAACATGAAACGCCATCCAGGTGAATAGCAAGTCGTTGAATAGAGTCGAAAGGATGAAGGAAAGAGAAGTGAGAAACAGGAAGGCCGGGAGACAGACGACCGTACGAAGGCATATCGTGAAT